ACGCTGTATATGGCTTGAGGGAATCTCCACGATGGTGGGGTGAGTTTCGTGATTGCAGACTTGCTCAACTGAATATCGTGGTGGGTTCAAAGCGTATCAAGCTGCTTCAATGTCGAGTAGAGGGCAGTTGGTGGAAGCTGGTTGAAGACAAGATGCTTGTTGGACTGGTGGTGGTATATGTTGATGATTTATTAATCTGCTCTACCCCCTCGATTATTAAAGCAGTTGCGGAAGCGGTGAAAGGACTTTGGCAAACAAGCGCTCTGTCTTGGGCTTCTGATGGGGGAGTGCGATTTCTGGGGATCGAAATTGTGAAGGTGGAAGGAGGTTTTGCATTGAACCAAGAGCCATATATTCAAGAACTTCTTCGACTACATGATGTTCGGCCAACTCAAAGAGACTTGATCCCTGTTGCAAGAGAGTTTGCAAGCTTTGAAGCAGATCCAGAAGAGGCGGTGTTCACGTTGGATGAGCTAAGAAAGGCTCAGCAGCTGGCGGGAGAGATACTTTGGGTCTCTCAAAGAACACGCCCGGATGTGGCGTACACGGCAAGCTTGGTGAGCTCCCTTTGTGCAAGGGCACCCAGGAGGTCGGCAACAATTGCACGAAAGTGTTTGGGATACCTGCAACGAACTTCTGGCTACCATCTACATGTTCGGTCTCAAGACAACAGTATTACAGCGTATACTGATGCATCATTTGCTCCAGAAGGAAAGAGATCGCACAGTGGATGGATGGTTATGATGGGATCTACACCGGTGAGTTGGAGGTCATCGAGGCAAACCACGGTGACTCTTAGTACTGCAGAGAGCGAGTTAGCGGCTTCAGTAGAAGGGGCATTGGCATTGGTGAGCATAGAAGCGCTGTTAGCTGACCTTGACCTGGGAAGTTGGGAGTCAGTGCTGCGTACAGACAGCACAGCGTCTTTGGCAATACAGAAAAGTCAAGGGTCATGGAGAACCCGCCATTTGCGGATAAAGTCAAGTTGGGTTGGGGAGCGTCTCGAATCAGGCGACCTGACTATCGAGCATTGGCCAGGGGATAAGCAGATCGCCGACGCGCTCACAAAGCCCTTGTCATCAATGAGACTGCAAGAGCTATGTGGAATGATGGGCTTGAAGTACTTGGCTGAGATTGCAGAGGCAGGCACTAGCTCCAGCAGTAGTCGCGGCAGCAAGCAACCCCTTAACTCCCCAGGGTTTAAGGTTTTGGTGGCGATGATGGTGTTATCTCAAGCTGTGAAGCCTTGTGAAGCTACTGGGATGGCCCTCTATGACCATGAGCCGGTTGCTGTGGATAAAGGGTTGATGATGTGGTGCTTCTTTGGTGCAATGTTTCTTCTTTGGACTTTGGCCTGGGAGTTTATTAAGTATGCTGGATGGCAGATCTATTTTACTGCGATTCCTGGTGCTGGAGCTCGGAGATTGCGAATACTGCAAAGGATAAGGGATACAACTGCAGAGGCTATTCGTGATGAGTACAACCGACACAGGCGTATTGAATCTGAGCGTAGACTTTCGGAGAGGCGCGAGGTTTCTGGAGAACGTGATGATCGTAGAGATGTTGGGAGTACTATGTCGTCGAGTAGAAGTGGTCCTGAGGTTCCCTTAGGCTCAAGCCCCATAGTCTATCGAGATGGTCTACGTGATCGAGCAGTTCAGACAACGGGTCCAAGCTTCGCGCCAGTGGTTCCAGAGATAAGAACCGATGTGAGGACAGAAGTGAGGATCCCTGAAAGGATTCATATTGTGCCTGGAAATCAGTGCTACCACGTTTTTAATCCCTGCCATGCATTTCGGCATCGCGGCACCCAATCAAGGGTTCAGACATTAAGGATCTGCGAGTACTGCGCGCGACACCAAGGTCGGGATCCACAAGCTCCAGGTCTCAGTATTGATGAGATGCTGAGGAATGGCCATATGCCAAACTTCGATCGCCCTGGTGTACAGTAGAGGGTGGTCAAAAGGAAGACTAACGCTTCTTTTGAGGAGGAGTGAGGAAATCTGGATGCCATGACTGTGGACACAGGTAGCTTGAAAGACACAGTGGCTTTTATCCATCCGATGGCTCACAGACAAGGCTACGCAGGACAGTCTTGAGCCACGACTTTTACAGCCTTAGGGTTTTTTACCTCGATAGCTATAGCAGCTGTGGAGCAGGCCTAAGCCATTCGGATGCGAAGGCATGTCCGAGGCAGGTCGAAGTCATACATTGTTGCGTTGTGTGAGTAAAAGATTGCAAATTCGGGAAGTCGCCGAGCCATGGAACATTGAAGCCTTTGGTTTTTTCTGTGTTTGGTCTCGTCGATTTTGACATATACTATTTAGCTAGGCATTTAGTATTGTAAATATAAAACCGTGGCTAAATGTACCCTACAGGTATCAGGCTCATATATATATATATAAGATTATATATATATATATACACACGCACAAAGACCTTGCAAATACTGATTTGATATTCAATATAAAAACTTTCTGACAAATAGCACAAAGCAAACAAGCAACAAGCAAATACAAACAGTAAGCGAAAAGCACAAAAAGCAGAAGCAACAAGCAATGAAAAAAGTGTGTATATAGTCCTCTTGTTCTTCATGTACATACTTCTTTATGTTTCTGAGCCGTTATTCTGCTCAGTTTGAAATCTTTCTGTTTATCTTGTCTTATGTCTTTCTTTCTGTCACGTGATTCTCTATTTCGTTGTCTGCCACTTTGTATTTATTTCATATTCCTGCATCTTGGGCAATCTGTCTTTCGTTCTTGCCTTCTCTCCTTCTTTCACAAGGGTAAAAAGCGAGAAATTGTACCTTCTCCCCCGCGCTCCAAGCAACTTCTCTCTGTCTGTCTCTCGCTCTCTCGCTCTTTCTCTCTCCTCTCGCTGTTTCTCTCATTCAAAGTGTCTTTGCTGCTACCTGTATTTCTTTCTTTCTCTCTTCTGCTCCTCCGTTCTTTACTTATAGCGCAGGGGGCTGGGAGACCAGAAGACCAGAGGACCAGGCCACCGAGAAGACCAAGTGACCAGGGGACCAGAGCACCACGGGACCAGGGGACCGAGCAAAAGAAAAACAAAAATGGGTGAAAAATGCGCCCTCCGTTAGAAACCCTCGCCTGCTTGAGCTGTTGTCACGCCAACCTAAGTTCTGTCGTTTCTGGGGCTCATGCAGTGCTCAAATCACTTTGCCCACGAAGAAGGTATGCTTCACGCAAAAACCAGACGGATGGCTCTACAGCTTTGAGGTGCTCGAAAGCTTTACGCCTGTAAGAAAGAGCTGCAGCTTGGACGAAACTCTGTTGTCAGAGGTGCTTCATGCCGGACTTGGGTCTGAAAGCTTTACGCTCGGCGTGCTGCTGTTAGGACTCTTAGGATGCACTAGACCTGCTGCTCACATGTCGGCTTTGGGCATGCCGCACCTGGACCAACAACATGGCAAGCGCTTCGCTGAGCTTGGACCAAGGGAACCTCAGATTCTGAAACCGTCGAAGAGCTACACATCCGGACAACGGGAAACCCCAAGTCCGAAGGATCCAAGCTGCCAATGGACAAGGGCTGGGCACACCGTTGAAATTGGAAAGAACTTCTTGGGGGCTGTGGGAAAATACGCTCTCCTTGCTGGAAAGTGTCGCGAATGGGTCTTTCTCTGCATCCTAGCGATTCGGCGAAGTAGGTTGGAGTCGCGCAAAGTTACGTTAAAGCCTCTTCGGTCGTTCCTGTCCTGGCAAAATCATGCGATTCAGCGTGGCACCTGGCCTTCGACGCTCAAGCTTCCAATCCTCGATGTGCCGTCTTACAACTTCGACTTCAGTCTGTTCCATCAGGAATGCATCTGAAGAGTTGGAGTCTCTTTTCAATTTTCTGTCGAGTCGCACCTGCGATAATGCTTAGGATGCAGCGTATCTTGAACGCCTGACGGCTGTGTCGCATGGATGGATGCTACGGAACTTAGCAAAAAAAAGTCCTCGGAGTAATGTTCAGGTGTTGCAGTTCCTTCTCTTGAGCTTTTGATCCAGAGTGTAATCACAAAACAAGTGTTCGACCGTCCACGAAGATAAATGCACAGTACGCACTGTGCACAGCCTATGTTCTGTGATTGCTCGGTCTGGGTTTGGAGTTAAAAATTCTTGCTTCTGATACTTCTGAGCCCACAGACAGAGTGGATGCGAGACCTCGACAGCCCTCTTGCATTTCAGGAGTCTCCATATTAAACGACACCATTTGAATTCTTAGGGCATCCTCAAAACTCAAACTGCAAAGCATCAGGAATTATGTTTAATGCAACCGAAGAAGTAATGATTTCGATATTGAGGCTGGTTTTGTTTGACCAGAAACGGAAAACCCTGCGCACATTGCAAACTCGAAACCTACAGCAAAACCTAGGGACACGTCCGAACAAAGAGATAGGAAAGTCAGAGCAACCAAGAACAGTGGCGTCCAGCGGATTTAGTCGATGATTTAGCGTACCATTGCTCATGCTGGATGCAGCATTCTCACACCAAGAAACACTCGACAGACTATATGAAGACAATCACATATTGTGCCTGTGCGAAATATGACCAAAGGCTGCCGGACTCCGCCTTGGCTAAGACTAGCACTGACGTCTTGCAGGACCACCAGAATCAACGCTGTCTGCTTGCCGCTGTGCCATTGCACTGCTCTGGCAAAACATGCTGATGACCCTCTGGAAACCTCAGCCGGCCCAGCCCCTTACAAACTTCGAAACCCTCCGTACTCGGTCCTTGAACAGCTGCACCAAGGCAGCGCTGCCCTGCCAAGTCTCGGCACCCTTGTTGCCATGTGTCTGTGAAGACGTAGAAACAAAGGCACATCGACGATGCAGACAGAGAGAGGAAGAACGAGAGAAATGGTGACAACCCCCCCTCCCCTCCCCTCCCCTCCCCTCCCCTCCCCTCCCCTCCCCATGATCCACCCAGTCTTCTTGCCAACTGTTCATCTACAGTCTTCTCTCTCCCCACATTTGTTCTCCTAGGAGCATAGAGAAGCTATTACGACTGATTACCGTACTTCACTTCCTCGTTATATGTGTTGGGGAATGCTCCTCGAGTCAAGGCTCTTTGGAAGTTTCGTTTCGAGGCGTTCACGGCCTGGTCGCAAATGCCCATGAGATCGCAGAACCGTGGTTCGATTCCTTGGGATTGAGGACCGGGACTGGGGATCTGGGAACCTCAATGGGCCAAACAATATCTGAGCAGCCGTAGAAAACCGCTCTGATGGGCACGCCCGAAAACCTTCAGGGCACAGTCGGACTAGACCTACTCGGATCGGGCAGCAGACAGGCGAACGCCTCAAACCCCAGCCCCCCAAATTGAAACCGCTGACTCCATGCCAAAGGAGTTCTTAGCTTGGCCAGAAATGCCTCTGGCAGCACCTTGCAAACCTTATTCGGCCTCGAACAAAGCCCCGAGCTCACACCGCCAGCCTGAAGCGGTAAACACAAGGTCCTTCCGGGCTGTCAGCACGCGCTGCGCCTTCTCAGCATCTCCACTGGCTCCAGTGACAGCGTCGCATGGGTGCCGAGAACCGCCAGACCTGGATCTGCCCACTGATCGTTCGAGAGTTCGGGATAGTTCGGGGCTGGGGTTCAAGCCTCAGGGCTCGGGGTCAGGGCTCGCCGAGAATAAAGATCTTCCCTGAACATGGGCCGAAGAATCGGCATAGTGCCTTGCGGCCTTGCATGTGTACGGCCTCGTTACATTGCCGAACAGTGACCTGCATCCAACACTGCAGCCCTGACCTGGGTATCTGGCAACAGTCAAAAAAACAGTACATTTGGACCGAAGGGCGAATGTTGGCGGGTAGCACAGCTGATGGCTGTGGAGATTCGGGTCGCCAGTACAACGATTCCAGCGCCACTCGAGGAGGCTGCACCGGATGCGTGGCATTGTAGGCTGCGTAGCCTTGTGCGGGAGACATTTTTCCTTCCCTTGGGTCGGCAGATAAGGGGATCTTCAGAGTGCAGGCTCGGCAAATGGCATTCAGCTAGATGACAAGAATCAAAATGGCTCCCTCAGGTGAAAAACTCCCAGCAAATGTCCGGCCACATTCACACATGCTCCTCAGGCGAAGCCCTCACCTTGCAGAAACGTCATACTCAGCTAAGGCTCTCATGAACTCCTGCAGGGTGGGTTCGAGCTTTTCTGATTTCCGCAGGATCTGTCAAGGGTCAGCCATTGCTTTAGAGTGGTCACGGTCAGGAATTCAGGCATGGTACGGATACACGCATCCAAGGTGCAGTCTTGACACAAGCACAATCATATCTAGGGGTTGAAGGCTTCACTCATAAACAAAGCAGACAACAACTGTAGACCTCTTGCCGACGACAAACATGCATGAACATAAAGCTAAAAGCAAATGTTTCCATGCCTCTAAACTCAGTAACGGAAAGAAAGAAAAAACATCTCAGCACCATGTCAGGCCACAGCTGGTGCAGCCCAAAGACTCCCAAAGTCTCTTGAATTCTTGGGAGTTTGGGAATTTGGTCACCCTGCGAGGGAAGCGTCGGTTTGGTTGATGTTGATGAAGGCATCGATAATCGAGACCGGCCACGGAGAGGAATCCAGAAAGTCCATGGAGCCTTCCTTTCCTGAGTCTTTTCGGCAACGCCGGGCTTCGTCGAATAACTGTCGTTTTGGATAGCGTTGCTAAGCGTCCTGTGCGGAGGTGTCGAAGACAAGCTGAACCCCACAAGCTCCTCTGCCCTTGGCCCTTGAGGCTCAGTCCTAGAACAGTGGTGGCGTATTTGAAATCGATCTCTGCAGACTGCCTCACGTCTGGGTCCTGGGCGCTGGTATTATTACAGAATGTGCCACAACTTCTAGTTTTGGTCTTCTGAATCTCGGATAAGCTTACATAGACTGTTGTCCTGGGAAGCCATGATGTGCCGCGAACGGATGACCAGCGCCGCCACCTGAGAGGTTTTGAGAGACTGCCCCGACAACCTGTCGGACACAGCAGATCAGAGGCATCCTATCTAGAAGCAGAGCAACAAAGCACGCACAACAACAGGCATGCGAAAACAATGCCGACACGCCAGCCAAACTTAACGCCTCACTCTGAGCCTCAATTCATTCGAAACTTGAGAGCCCCGGCTGGAAACGTCCATGAAAGGCCCCTAATGAACTACAGGAAGCTGCCCGCAGCCTCTTTCAATTCCGGGCTGCAAAGCCCCAGAGGCAAAAGCGATCCGGCAGAGGCCACGGGGCCTCAGGCCCGCTGCAGAGGTACTTGAAGAAGTCCTGAACCCAAACTCACTGAAGTGGGTCTACGAGTTGCTCTCAACTCGGCTATACTCGCAGGCGCTCCTGTGGTGGGTAGGGCTTGTCCTGCCAAGAGAGCAAGATGTCCTGTGCCTTCCAGCTGTCTCGTGAAGGCTTCTTCGGGGTATCGAAGTTATAGGAGAAACGGACGGCTCTGCCGTTCGGGATGTGGGCTTTGCCACACGCACATGTTCTGGCAGGGCGCCAACTTCAACTTATGCCGAGTGCTCTTCAATGCATAGGTTTAGTTCTCACGAGGAGCCTGAAGGAGCAAGTCTTCATCTCGTGGAAAGTCTTTGCGAGCGTTGGCTGTGACCTTCTGCAAGGAGGTTGTTGATGTTGAGGGTATTAATGTGTCCTCAGATTACACTCACTTTGCCTGAACAATTGGGGTAGCGCGCAGGTCTCTCACACTTCTTGTACCTAGAGTTTAGTGCCTCCTCGTCAAATACGAACCTCCAAAAGACTCATGGTCAGGCAAAAGGCCCATGGTCAGGGGTGGAGGGGTGGGACACGCGATTCTCAATTCCACTGACTAAAGCCTGATCCCTCATCACCCTCAACTCGTCAGAACTCTTCAACTGCAGCCTTGACAACACTGAAACTCTGAGCCCTACAGGCTTCACCCCAAGCTGGCAATCACAGTTTAAAGAAACTGACAGGGGTTTGAACCTAAACGTCGTACAACCCTTGAGGGTGCATGCTTAAGCCGAAAGACCCACACACAAGCACACACAGGTGCCAGAATCTATCTCAAAGCACTCCAACAGTGCCGGGGCTTCAGCATCAAGCTCAGGAGGTCTACGTTGTATTCGACAGCCGACAACCGAAGACATGAATCCCACCCTGAACACTCAGATACAAGCTCACAGCCACCACCTGCCACCACCTCCCAGAGCAAGCCCAGACAACGGAGACTCCTGGGCCCCGCGCAGCATCCAAGAAAGCTGCCCACCTGCCCGGGTCAAAACGAAACGAAAACACCAAGGGCTTTAACGATTCAGACAGTGCTTGCCTCTTCCTTGCAGCATGTTTGCACCAACGCCGGGATTGTTGTTCTGGGGCGTAGGGCTCTGTGTGTGACAAGGGCTTGACATTCTGAGTTCAGGCCGAGAGAGATCTCGACACGAACAAACGGTCTCTAGGCCCTCTATTCCCGAACCTCTGCCGAAGAACACCCTCAATCTGGCTGACACCGGCTCGACCCCTCCACATCCACTTGGCTGCTGTCCAAGGCGCTCTGGTATGCCCCGGCAAGTGAATGCCTGCACAAGACTTCACACACACACACACACAGACACAGACACACACACACACACAAGACAAAACACAAGACAAAACCAGACCGGTAGCAAGCACGCATGGCATTTGGGATGAATTTTGCCTTGTTATCGGGGGTTGGAAAGCTTGAGGCGGATCTATCGCCATCAGACTCAGGCAACATCACCATGAAGGCACTCCGTAGGCAGGCTGAGAGACGCTATCCCGAATCCCCGCTTACTCTGAGCAAGACAGTTGTGATACAGTATGTGCTTCTTTAAGTTGTGAAGCCCCGGCTTGGCGAACCCCGAACGTCGAACAAGCAGGACCTGTGGCAACCGTGCATTGCAGCTGCTCATGTGGTCATTGACATCGAGCTCGGATCCTGAACAACATCGACGGTTTGTCGCTCGGAATCCTTGCCATTTCATGGTTGGCACCCGACCGGGAACACCGAAGGGTAGATTCTTGAAGGCAGCGTCTTGGAACTCTGAAGCTCCTGTAGGATATTGCGCCGAACCAGGCATCATATTCTGGACTACACTCGATTGCATGTTCACTGATCACGCGGCCTCCGCAGCGAGCCAAGGTCATAGTTAAGCCAAGAGTCTTGTGGATACATAGATTGCACCAGATGCTATCCCAGGAAGCCATGCACAACGAGCACTCTGCCATGGTGCCCCCCACAGCATGCTGCAGACTCCAACCCGGAAAATCAAGAGGCCTCGGGTTTAGTCCGAGCGGGATCAAGGGTGTTCCTGCATCATTATGCTCAGATGGGTAGGGAAGAGCAAACTGGATCGTCTGAGTTGCTCATACGTCACAAGCACTTGATGTCTGTCCATGGCAGCGCTGAGATTTCGGGAATTAGGGTGACAGCACTGGAACCATTGAAAAACGGCCCGCGTTGTTGCTAACCGGAGATTCCCTGACACTGAGAAGCAGGAAACACATGACTCAGTTTGAGACATGCGCAACTAAGTCGGAAGCTAGTGACATTGGTGGCTCGATCAATTTGGAGCAGACCACGCTACACCACAAAACACATCAAAACACACATTACATATGCAAAACTATTGGCCCCTCTCTATCTCTCTCCCTAAATTTCTTTCTTGAACCGTGTCCGTGTGTGTGTGTGTGTCTGTGTCTCTGTCTGTCTGTGTGTGTGTGTGTGTGTCTCTGTCTGTGTCTGTGTGTCTGTGTGTGTGTGTATGTTTACAAACCAAGCCAAACAAGCCGAACCAAGCCAAGCCAACCAAACCGCTCAAAATGAAAACTCTTGAAACCCTTGTTTAGCAGAGACCCCTGTCTAACAGAATCGTTATCTAGCACAAGCCAGTGTAACGATGGCAACACCCCAAACCCCCAATCGGGGGGTCTGGGTCTGGGAGTAAAGGATCAAATTATAACGGAGAATGCAAGGCGAAATGCCTACAGGAACTTGCGAAAGACCTGCAGAGCTTGCGGAAGATTGCAAAAACCCAAACCCCCAATCTCGGTGAATGCGAGACGGGGGGCCTGAATCTTATTAAGAAATGGAAGGCGACAGACCGACGAAACTTGCGGAAGATGGCAACAACACAGACCTGCAGTCTCGGTGCGAGACGGAGAGTCTGGGAATACATCAAGAAGCCTAACAGGAAATGGAAGGTTAAGGAACTGCGGAACTCTCAGGAGATGGTAACGGGCTAGTCCACCCATCTTGCTACGAGACAGAGGGTCTGGGATGCGGCGAACCTTTTGCAGGGAGCGGAAGGCGAAAGACATAGAGAATTTGGGAAGATGGCGACGCAGACCTCCCAATCTCGAAGCGAGACGAGAGGTGTGGGTGAGTACAGCCAGAACCCTACAACAGGAAATGGAAGGCGAAAGACCCAGAACTTGCGGAAGATGGCAACTACCCAGACCCCCAATCTCGGCGCAAGACGGGGAGCTTGCAAGTACGGCAGAAACCTTACAACGGCGGCGAAAGACCTTTACGGAACTTGCGAAACATAGCCACAACCCAGACCAAAAGTCTGGTGTGAGATTGGGGTTTGGGAGTACGGGAAGAACGAAAGAAACCGCCTTAAGACCGCCCCACCCCCCGGTGTCCCGCCCACCTCGGCACAACCCGTCAGAACCGGGGAATATGGTGCAATATGGCATAACATAACGTGACATAACAAACCATAGCATAGCGCAGCATAACACAACTTAACAGAACATAGCAGAGCATAATACAACATGGCCTAGTTCAGTGTCATATGCTATCATGTCTCATCATATGCTATCGTGTGACATCATATGACACAAATGACACCATATAACATTAAAATGAAACCATACGAGATCATGAGACAAATATAAAATGACATCATATGATATCATAAAACATCATACGACATCACATAAGAACATCAGATACTATCATAGAAAGCATACCGTACAACAATTATTACACCACCGAAGACTCCAAACAGTATCGTCGACAAATACGCGGCCAAAGAAAATGTTTGTGATTGCTGTGATTATTATTATTATTGTTGTTGTTGTTGTCGTCATCGCCGTTGTGAGCGTCAGCAGCAGTAGTAGCAGGTATGGTGCGAGTAGCAGCCGCAGTTAAGCGGTATTCGTGCTGAAATACAAGGTACGACCTTGTGGGCTAGCGCAATTCCGTGGTGCGGCTGGAGCGTGATATTCTGTAGCCGGCTATATCGTCCTCGGTCGACAGGATAACATTTTGCACGCTGCACGCTGCAGCCTGTTTGCAGTTGGGTCTGACTTGGAATGGGTAGGATGGGCTTTCATATCCGTGGCCATCCGGAGGAGCGGGAAAGATTCGAAGTAAGGGGGGAGCTAGCAGCCACGCGTGAACGCATGGCATTCCGCTACTCGCCGTTCCTCTCCCAAAGCCCGCGGCTACGCTCACCGGCTAGGGGAGGCTTTGAGGCGGTCTCCGGGCTCTGATGGGCGAGATGACCGCATGCAGGGCGAGCGCAAGAAGGCGGAAGCGTAGGTCAAAGGCTCAGAAAGAGCGAAAGAGCGGATATATCGCGGTCAGGATATCGGAACGTGGCGGCATCCACCCAATGGACAGCGGCTCTGTCGAGATGGGCAGGCTCTCGTGCTGGGCGCAGTCTAGCTCCAGCATTTAGTGCAGCTAATGCAGACCAGTTCAGCGAGGGTAGAAGGACGCGGCTTGCACGGAATCCGCACAGGGGCAGAGGATATGGACGCGAGCAGAGGGCGAGTTCCCTAATCTGAGCCTCCGGCTTCTCCAAAGAATAGAGCCGAAGACAGGGATAGGCAGGGAGACCCGATCGCCTCAAGCGAGGCTCGGGAACCAGCACACATGGCTAGGAGGAGGTACCTGCTAAGAACCCAATAGCTATGAACGAGAAGATGGCTAGTACATCACGCCACCAGCTGGGACGAAAAAGCCTGACTGGCTAGAGCTGCATGAACGTCAACTGATCGGAGCTCGGCTGACCTGATACAGACTCGGCAGCCACCACCCCGCCGAGCCATACTGACGTGCGCAGACGTGGGCAGACGTGGCCGCGCGAGACAGGTGGCGCCTAGGGTAAAGTAGTGAGGAGCCCGCCTTGAGTCTTCAACCGTGCTGCACGCCTTCAGATGGGGTTGCGTGATTTCCGGAAGTATGTGGTTGGCTAGCGCAGCTGGCTTTGGAGTCAAGACATGACACGACCCCACGGCTGGCTGGCGACATCACGAACTGAAATTGGAAAGCTCCAGGTATTGGACCTCGCCCCCTGCAAGAAAGGAAGCCGGGGCGAAGGACTGAGGCGGGTGTTCCCCTCAAGAAGCCACGCGGTCCCTTTTTTCGTTCCGGCCAGAAGCTGGCCGGAATCCGAGCTAGAGAGGGAGGGCATTCCGGATGGCTAGTGCGGGAGAGCATGGCTGCAAGCGGGACAAAAAAAGGCATGTGGAGACGGGTCTGAGACGGCCACCCAGGACATGGAGGAACAGTTACGTCACATTAACGAGGCTTAAGACCAAAAGCGGATAATCCACATGCCACTCATGGCGTCAGAGTGCACCACCGGATAAGTGCAGGGGCCAGGGGTGAGATCCGAGCACCGGGACAGGCCGCTGGGATGCGGTCAGGGCTGTTTCAACCGCATCGCCCAGATCGTCCAAAATGTGGTAGATGAGGCGAAGAACAATGTAACAAGTGCATGTGCTGGCCGATAGATAGCCATGGGAATAAGGGGTATACGCGCAAACGGCGTAGGCTATCGGCTAGCAGCACCGCAGGATAGCGCTCGGACATGACTACACAGCAGCATGCAACCCATAAGGGGCTAGTGCACATGTCAGCGTCAATTTTTGAGTTTGTGTGCACTCCGACGCCTTGCAGAAGCTTGCTGATGCTCAAGCATGAGGGCATGAGGGTTCGGGTGGTCTGTAAGTCTACAGCCGGCGTGCCGGTAGCCAAAAAAAGCTTGAAGAACCCCCCAACAAACCTCTTGAAAACAAAAGAGAAGCGTGCGGGCAAAAAAGAAAGACATAACAAGAACCGGACATTTGGAATTCCAAGCACGAGCTTGCGGGCAAAAGTTGTCGGTAGAACCTTTCCTTTGTAGGTTTACAAGTGTGATCGAAATATGTTCTGCTTTGCTTTTTTTTGCGTCACAAACACCCTACCAATAGTGCAAAACAAAGACAAAACCAAAATACGGTGTTTTGCTTCTCGGTCACAAACACCCTACAAATAGTACAAACCAACCAAATCCAACATGCTGTGTTTACATGTCTGATCGAAATATGTTTGTGTGCTTTTCGGTTATAAAGCCATAGCAAAAAAAACAAAGACGACCAAAAGACTGTGTGAGTAGAAACGTGAAAAACCCAACATTTCTTCTAAGCCGGTGTTTTCGGAAAAAGCTTTTCTCAGGATGTTCATTTGCGATCGAAATAAACAAAGTTGTGCCGCTCGGTTGCGTGGTTTTCCACGAAGTGTTTAGCTCCGCAGGCAAGCGCGCGTGTGTGCATGTTTTTTTTACATGTGTGTGCATGCATGCATGTCTGTACATATGTATGCATGTAAGTAAGTAAGCAAGCAAGCAAGCAAGCAAGCAAGCAAGCAAGCAAGTAAGGAAGTAAGTAAGTAAGTAAGTAAGGAAGTAAGTAAGTAAGTAAGTAAGTATGTATGTATGTATGTATGCATGCTTTCTCAGTGGCGAAGTCGGTGTGTCTCTTTCTTACCTAGTGTTGCTCTCACCTCAACTCACGT